ACTTTTAAAAACTGAGCTGATCAAAAAATGGGGGCTAGAGGGAGGCAGACAAAAATCATGCTGGAAATAGAAAGCCAAAGACGATGTAAGTGCTGAGCTCCCTGGAAATTTTAAGACCAGAACAACAAGAAATAGTACAACTAAAATAAGACAGTCAAAATGTCAATGTCTGGATTAGCCAAACTGTCCTAATCTAAACCCTAAACTTGTGAGAAGTCACCACTTAGAGGCACTGGGATCCCCACTGAACAGTAAAATGCTGTGTGGCTTACCTGGGAAGGATAAAAATAACAAATGCCAGCTCGTGTTGGATCGCCTTCTTCCTTTACCTTGGAACCATCGTAAAGAAAAAAATAATTCCACCTGGCAAGAGAACAGAATGGAGCCATGTTTCCTTTCATCCAGTGATCACGGCATTTAAAACACAGCTTCCTTTTTCCCAGCCTGAGGAGGGCTCATTACTGTGTTTGAAAGCCTTCAGGTGGCCCCAGAGAAGAAAGAACCCCAGTAGCTACAAATTAGATAAAACTGTTCTGTAAACGCAGGAAAGTCAAACTAAAAATATGCCTCTATCCAGCCGTCAGACCATCTGCCGGAGAAGACATGAGTAGCTAGAGGAAAAACGAGGCGCCCACAATGACTGCTCTTATTTGAAACACTGAACCTTAACCATACAACCACATGGTCTGATACACTGTCTTTTAAGGCTCTGGTAACAAATTAAGTTAAGGATGTTATTAGATGGACTCCTCATAAGTGCTGAGCATAAAGATTTCCGGAAATAGCCCTTCTACTAGGAATTCACGCATTCACTTAACAAACATTTGCTAAGGGCCCACAGTGTGCTTCACGTTTGCTGAGCAAACATGCAGTTTCAGTGCAGGATTGTGACTCCATAAATCCGTAACAGGGGGAAAACGGGCCTATGAGAACTTACAGAGAAACTTTGAACTCTCTACCACACACCTCACCCCGTATCACTCAAGCACACTTCCTCATTAACCTCCTGATTCCCTCAGCCCAGAGAAAGCTCTTTCTTCTGAATTTCCATGACCCTCTATTGTTCCCTAAAGACCCTTACAAACTACACTGTAACATAACTATAATTACTTAATGTTATTATCTGATTACCTCTTTAAGACCATAAAACAAACACCTCAAAGGCCGGGTCTCCATTTTGTTTTGTTTTGCTTTTACAGACAGGGTCTCACTTTGCAGCCCTATAGGCTGGAGTGCAGTGGTTCAATCACGGCTCATTGCAACCTCAACATCTCAGGCTTAAGCCATCCTCCTGCCTCAGCCTCCCAAGTAGCTGGACTACAGGAGCATGCCACCATGCTCGGCTAAATTTTTAAAAAAATTTTGTGCCAGGCGCCATGCCTCATGCCTGTAATCCCAGCACTTTGGGAGGCTGAGGCGGGCAGATCACCTGAGGTCAGGAGTTCGAGACCAGCCTGACCAATATGGTGAAACCCCGTCTTAATTTAAAAAAAAAAAAAAAAATTTTTTTTAAAAAGAAAAAAAAATTTTTTTTGTAGAAATGAGTCTCACTATATTGCCCAGGCTGGTCTCAAATTCCTGGACTGAAACAATCCTGCCTTGGCCTCCCAAAGTGCTGGAATTACAGGTGAGAGCCACAGAGCCTGGATGGACCTGTTTTACTTCTAACTCTCTGAAAACGCATTTATGAGGCTAAAGCATAAAGGAGCAATGGGACCAATCTGTTACCTGCTTTCTTCTCCCCCGGATCTAGTCCCTCTCTGAGGCCTCCCTCTGTGGCTCCCACCTCACCTTCCTGATGAAAAAGCACCAACTCAGGTGGGCACAGTGGCTCACACCTATAATCCCAGCACTTTGAGAGGCCTAGGCAGGAGGACTGCTTGAGCTCAGGAGTTCAAGATTGGCCTGGATAATATGGTGAAACCCCATCTACAAAAAAAATAGACAAAATTCGCCAGGCATGGTGGTGTGTGCCTGTGGTCCCACTGACTTGGAACACTGAGGTAGAAGGATCACTTGAGTCTGGGGGGGTTAAGGCTACAGTGACCTGAGATCACGCCACTGCACTCTGGCCTGGACGACAGAGCAAGACCTTACCTCAAAAAAAAAAAAAAGAAAAAAGCACCAACTTGGTCTCTGGCACTGTCCACTTTCCCAAGACCTAGGGCTGAGTGTACAACTGGTTGCAGGGTAGGCTTAGATCAAAAAGCCTCAAAAAAGTTTCAAAGCCAACTCAGAAGCTCCACGTGCACCCCATCCTCCTGTCTCCACGTTCTCTGGGTGAAAGCATCCCTGCTTGTGCAGGCACATAAAAGAAAACTTGGCTGTCATTTTGAACTGCTCCAGCTTTTTGATTCTCACATAAATCATCAGTCACTAAATCCTGCTAATTCTAGCTAAACCTGCTTTTCACTTTCATCTCCTCCATGACTGATGTTTGCTAAACCTAATTATGAAACAGGATATACGCATTTAGGGTTGAGAAGGGAAATGGGATTCAGACAGACATTGAGTAACACCCTTCAACAGCCAGTCTGGCCAAACCTCTTCTCATGGTGTAATTTTCAACTGCAACCATTCCTCACCTCTGCAATACCCACATTATCATCAAAGCTGGCTGCAAGATCAGGCTGTGGCTATCTTTTCTACCATCTCCCAGCAATGTCAGACTCCTTCAAACATTGCAAGACGCTTGCAAGGTTAAAACACATTAGCTTTGGAGAGAAATGGCTCACGTGTTGATTCAGCTGCTCTGAGGAAAGTGGCATTTTTATTATCTTAATAAAATTAACACAATCTGGCTGGGGATTTTCAATGAACCCCAAAAATCGACCCAGCAGCCCAGCAAAAGCTGTGCCATGGCAGGCCCTGGTACTCACCACGAGGCTGACTTTGTCTCTGTGGAGGCGGAGGCGGCCATCTACTTAGCAGTCATCCTCGTTCTCTTCACCTAGGTTTTCTTTTCCAGTATCACTTCTTTCTACCCAGCTGTGACCGTTCCTCTATCCCGCAGTCCAGTGAATCTAGATGTGGCAGGTTTCAGTGTTTTCAGTCACAACTGCCACTTGGTTAGTTTTCACTCAGCACGTAAAGTGCCACTTCCTTTCTTGCAGGTTCTTCGGTTTCATGAATATTTCTATGCCTCTTTCAACTCGCAGAGGAACTGTAACAAAGAGAATCCCAGCAGAAAAGCCAAATCCATTCATCTGGCTCCCTGAGCGTCACTGTGGCTGTCTACAGAACAACCTCTTCAAGCTCTTCTCCAGGAAAGCCAACAGTGGGAGATGCATGCTAGAGCTGGTGTTCTAAAGAAATTTCTAGCTTGTCTGGTTCAAACCCATCCTGAAGATTTTATTAAAAGTTTTGAAGTTTCCAGTTCAAACATCAGTGCCTTGGCTCTGAAATAAACACAAAGAATAGACATTTCAGAAACTCGTGAGAGTGCATGTGACCTAGCAGGATTAAACGAATAGTATATTTCAAAAGAACTTTCTGTAAGGGTGACAATGATGCTTCAAAATCAAAGAGGAAGGCTTGCAGACTTCAGAGTAAGGGCTTTAGTTTCTCGAACAGTTAAGGGACACACACCACAAGGCTCACAGAAGATCAAATCAAACGATAGGGTGAAGACGCTCTGGGTGTGGACAGCTATACAAATAAAGCGGTTGCTGTGGTAATAATGGAACCCAAATTAAGGAACTGTCATCTTGACAGTCCAAAAGTAACCTGAACGTGAAGAATTCCAGAGCAGGGCAAGTTTCTAAAAAATAAAGAGAACTTTATCACATGGCTTTCAAACTTCCACCAGAGAAAGACAACTCAGTGTATCATGGAATTTCAGTCGGAAGGAACCCTGGCATTATTTACTGTATTCTCTTGGACTCTGTCCCAAAATTACCTTGGGCAGCTCTCCTTTACACCCTCCAGAGATATGCGGTTCACCACGTTACATTTCTCCTTCCTCCTTCCACCAAACTAAAATCTGCCTTCCAAATTTTACATCTGCCTCCCACTAGCTAGTCTGGGTAACACTCTCCAGGAAAGCAAAAAACAAGGTCTAATTTTACCATCTGACAACTTGGTCACTTCAAAACTATTGTCTAATTCCTATTGTCACTTTCTCCAAGCTTAATGCCCTAGCAACATGGTCTCAAATGCTTGCTCACCATTCTGCAATTTGTGGGAACACAACGCAGTTTGTTAAAGTCTCTAGAGACGACCCCCACTGAATATTTAACGGACTGTAAAATCGCTATTTCTTCTCAGCTCTAGATATTTTGGATTGGGTCTCCACGGGACCATACTCATTGTATTCTATGGAGCATATCTGGGTGCCTGTGGAGGGGGCATCTCTGTTCCCAGAACCAAGGACAGCAGCCTAAAACGCCCCATCAATGTCCCCAGAGGACTGGGCCCCCCTACTACCGAAGGTCCTCTCTTATCTCTGAAAGGTCCAGAAGAGGCCAATAACGGCCCTGGCGTAGGCACCGCCATCGGAATGTGAGCAGAAAAGGCTCTGGTAGCCTGGGAAGTTGTAGTAACAACCTGGGGGAGGGGCTGGTGATAGCAGTATGGGAAATAGCCTCGGTGGGGCAGCAGGGCTGGAAAAGGGACGCTAATGGCTGGAGAAGGGCCAGGACGCTGCCAGACACAGCCCCCGGGGCGCAGGCAGCGATCGGTGACAGCACGAGGGCTTTGCGGTGTCTGGCCCCAGCTCCGGGGGACTGGGAAACGGTGGGCGAAGGCCCAAGGAGGGGTCTGGTCACGCTCCCGGCTGGGGGCCCGCCCCTCGGTATCCCAGCGCCTCCGAGCGCTGCCCACCCACCGGAGTACCCTGGCATCCCAGTGCTCGGGGTTTGGGACTCCGGACCCGGAATGCGGGCGGCGGCTGGACGGCCGCGTACCTGAGAGCACGGTAGAGAGGCCTTAGGTCACGCGCCGCCCCGCCTACCGCGCCCTCTTGCTCCCGGCGAGTCAGCGCGCGGCTATGACGTACATGAGTGCGCCGCGCTCGGCTGACGTCAGAGACCAATGGCTGCCGCCGCAGCTGCCGCGCCGGAATCCTGGCAGGCGGCTGGTCAGCCGAAGAGGCGCTCGGCGGCGCGACGGCCACGGCGGAGGCAGGCGGCGCTCCGGAACCCCGAGGCGGAATTCGAGGCTGACAGCGGAGTCGTGCTTCGTCGCATCTCGGACGCTGAGTGAGTGCGGGATCGACCCTGGTGGAATCTTTGCGCCCATGGGCAATTCTGAGCCACAGTCTCGCCATCTATAAAGTGGCAATATAATGCACACCCTTTAAGGGGTTATTGTGAGGATTTAACGTAGGTAACGAGCTCATTAAAGATCTGGATTATAGTAAACGCTCACTTGAAGGTTGTCTTCCCTGTTACAGCTGCGTGACCTTGGGCAGCTTATAATCTCTGTGCCTCAGCTTTCTCATCTGTGAGATGGGGACGAAAATAATACATACTTAGGTTTGTTTTGAGGATTCAATGAATTAGTAAATGGAAACCATTTTCTGGCACGTGATAAGCACAGTGCCAATGTTTGCTATTAACATTATGTCGATGTTGGTATTATTGGTGGTGGTAACACGAGGGCAGCAACATGAACACGTGATTGCTGTCATGATCAGGCAGCTGCTGTGTACCTGACACTGGCTTAATCATTCTACACACTATGTTAAACATTGCAGGCACGCTAGGACGCTGGTAGCTCAACTGAATCTCAAAGAGACAGATAAAATGTATAGAACCAGATTTCAAACCCAGGGCTTTGTGATAAAAACCAGTGCTTCCAGCTCTCCATTATGCTGGATGCTTATCCCAGCCCAGATTCTCACATACTTTGCTCCGTACCTTAGAAAGTACATAGAGAGTGCCTAATACAGAGGAAACACTCAATAAATGTTACCTATGATTGTTATTTAGTATTATTGCCTTTATTTGCAATTCTGTTTAGGGTCAAGAAATAACAGCTTTAGTTAGTATTTCACCATCTGAAGGGCCCTCACAAGGGAAGAAATTAGATTTAATTTTGTGTGCTCCTTTCCCCTAGAATTAGGATCAAGATTCAGTAATGACCCAGAGTTTACTTGTGAAAAGAAAGTTGCTGACCATTTGGCTCGGCCTGAACAAAAAGGACCTGCAATTCTTTTTAAGCTCTCAGAGGGTGCCAGTGCGAGTGAATGTGCCTGGGGGTTTGGAGAACTCGAGGTGCTTTTCATATCCCTTGACATTGTCACTATTTCCTCAACTGCTTCAGTATTCCCCAGGAGCTCCCTGCTTCTCCCAACACCCAAGTGTGGTACAATCACCATTGCCTGAGTATTGGGCCAGCATTTTACATGCTTATCTATGTACGCATTTACCAGTTCATAAAGCATTCCCGTGTACATCAGAACTCTCTCCTTTACCCTCTGTGAAGAACGTCCAGCAGCCTCTGGGCCGACTTTCAATTCTCTGTACTCCTTTCTGAACCACATAATCACTATCTCTGGCTGTGGCTTGTCAGTTTAAATCCAGTTGATCTTAATTCACTGTTGACTTTGTTCTGCTCTGAGTCTGTAAAACCAGTTGACTTGAATAAAGAAAGCCCAGATACTTGCTTTTGTCTCTTTACTTTCCCCTTAGAACTATTTATAATAACGAAGACCATTTATTGAGTACTTGCTATGTCACTGTGCTAAGAATATTAACCCTTTTGTTTTCATTATATATTACAATGTAAATGTTAACCCATTTTATGCCTCTAAACTCCTCCATGTTGGGAATGATTTTTATCCCCATTTTAGAGATGAGGAAACTAAAGCTCAGAAAGGCAAATTCTGAGCATTTAACAACCATTTATTAAGCTGCAGTTCTATGCTAGGCTCTGTTGTAGACTGAGAATAGACCCAGACCTCTCTGAGAACCAAAAACCTGCTCCAGTGTCCTCTCTCCTGCAGTCTCTGAGCCCCAGCAGTATGTGCCCTGGCTCTGGACATGTTCAACATATATCCCCCTGCTGTCAATTGGTAAGGGTGGGCCATGCATTGCAGGGCATCTCATTCTCTATTCATTCAGGTCATGATCAGGAAAGTTAATGTTGGGGCAGCCCTGAAATGAATGGGACATAACTGTGCCATTTTTTCTCAACAGGAAGGACCTGCTTATCTCTGATTTCTGGAGTTCAGCACTAGGTGGGTACCACCTGGCCAAGGGTAGGGGTTGTAGGGCCGAAAGGAGAATCAGTCCTCATTTGAGGACATTTTGCTTCACAGCGGGATCGCTTGCTGGGTACTAACCACCCCCCCCTTACAACTGGGTGTCTTTTGGCACTTAATTCTGACCCTCAGTTTCTTGATCTGTGAAATAGGGATAATGTGTATATCCTGTAGTTTTGAGAACTGAACCTGTGTAGCTAAATGCTGGCCTGCTGTATACAAGGCAATAAATGTTGTCATTATTATTGCTGAAATTTATGTTTATCCTATTCCTTTTCCATGATATTACAATGTAGCCTTTTTCTCATGCAGTTACAATCTCCTCCTAAACATGGTGGAGACTGTTTGTTATTGCTTAAAATATTATGTTGTGGGTGGCAACATAATATTTATGCATGGAATGGACATACCATATCATCTTTATTGAGGGACATTTAGTTTTCTACCTTTGTTTTTCAGTTATTATTTTAGAGCAGAGTCTCAGTCCTCACCCAGGCTGGATGAGGTGCAAACTTAGTTTGCAAACTATGTGCAAACTATGGTGCAAACATAGTTCACTGCAGCCTCTACCTCCTGAGCTCAAGTGATCCACCTCCAGCCTCCCAAAGTGCTGGGATTACAGGCATGAGCCACCACACTCAGCCTTTTTAAATTATTATACATAATTTTGGGATGAGCAACTTTATGCATAAAGCTTTTACCAAACTGAGGATGATCTTCTTAGAATATATTCCCAGAAGTGGAATTCAATGAAAAGCAGTGACCAACTCGATGTCCATTGTCAAGTTATCCAAAATGTTTTCACCAATTCTTCTATCACCAATTCTTCTATCAAAACTGAAGAGCCAGTTTTTCATGCAAACTTTCCTGGCCTAGGGTCTTATTTAAAGATATCTTCGCTGGTTCCTTTTTTTTTTTTTTTTTTTTTTNTTTTTTCAGCAAAGTAGCTGCTGTTCTTGTTCTGGATCCTTTTATTTTGTATTTGAGACAGTCTCACTGTGTTGCCCAGGCTGGAGTGCAGTGGCGTGATCTCGGCTCTTTGCAATCCCCACCTCCTGAGTTCAAACAATCCTCCTTGCCTCAGCCTCCTGAGTAGCTGGGACTACAGGCGGGTACCACTACCCCTGGCTAATTTTGTATTTTTGAAGAGATGGGGTTTTACCATGTTGGCCAGACTGGTCTCGAACGCCTGACCTCAAGTGATCACCCCACCTCGGCCTCCCAGAGTGCTAGATTACAGGTGTGAGCCACTGTGCCTGGCCCTTTGCTGGTTTCTTAAGTGAAAAATTGGTATCTTATTTTTGGAATGCACGGCTTTTTTGTTTTGCTAAATTCAGTACCACTACCATAAAAGGAGGGACAAGAGAACCTACCTCTACATGAGAAGACTTAAACAGAGTATTTTTCATTAGGCTCTTGAAGCCCCAACCTACCTTTCCTTTAAACTCTTTACACATTCAGTGTTCCTACTTTTAGCCATTTATAGTGTGATTTTGAGAGGTATACTCCATCCTTTGTTATAACTTTATTTTATTTTGAGACTGAGTTTTGCTCTTATTGCCCAGGCTGGAGTGCAATGGAGCGATCTTGGCTCACCACAAACTCCGCCTCCCGGGTTCAAGCGATTCTCCTGTCTCAGCCTCCTGAATAGCTGGGATTACACGCATGCGCCACGAAGCCCAGCTAATTTTGTATTTTTAGTAGAGATGGGGTTTCTCCATGTTGGTCAGGCTGGTCTCAAACTCCGGACCTCAGATGATCCACCCACCTTGGCCTCCTAAATTTAAAGTGCTGGGATTACAGGCATGAGTCACCGCGCCCAGCCTATTTTATTTTAAAGATGGAGTCTTGCTCTGTTGCCCAGACTGAAGTGCAGTGGCATGATCTCGGCTCACTGCAACCTCTGCCTCTGGGGTTCAAGCAATTCTTCTGCCTCAGCCTCACCAGTATCTGGGACTATAGGCATGTGCCACTACGCCCGGCTAATTTTTTGTATTTTTAGTAGGGATAGGGTTTTGCCATGTTGGCCAGCCTCGTCTTCCCTGACCTCAGGTGATCCACACATCTCAGCCTCCCAAAGTGCTAGAATTACGGGCATGAGCCACCGCACCCAGCCAGTTACAACTTTAAAAGTATGAATTTCAGAGCATAGTCTACATTTACCAGGAGCCTCTTGTTAAATTAGAATGAGTTCCCATTAGAGTTTTAGATGGAAACTGCTGTGAATGAAACCCAACTTCTGCTTACAACATTCTCTTGGGTTTTGGACCATGAGAGTCCAGGGGTTGGGACAGCCTGTCAGTGGTGAATGTGACTGTATGTCCTGGCATGTTTGGGAATGTGGTTGGCAGCTTTTCTCTCTGAAAAATGGAAACCTTTTACTGCCCTGATCTCTTTCTTCCCAAATCTGTGAACTTCTTTTATGGATGATTTGACTCACAGGGTCAGAGCATACCCTCTAACTGCACTTGGGGGCCTGCCCTTTCAGAAACCATCAATAAATGTCTCACAAAACATCTGGAACAGCTCAAGGCCCCTGTGGGGACTCTTTCGGACACCTTTGGAAACCTGCATCTTGACTCATCGCCAGATGAGTCAGATGTGGCCCCTGACTCTATCCCAGGAGGGACCCTGGGCACAGGAACCTGCCTTTGGAAGTGTGTGTGTTACGGCATTGGGAACTTTGCCACCTGCATCATTGCTAGAAACCAGCTAACGTTTTTGCTGCTTTTGTTGGAGAAGTGCCAGGTACATTTTTGGATTCATTTTCATCTCCTCCTCCTCTGGTCTTGTACATGGGTGCACACAGATGTTTGGGTGGAAGTAAACAACTCATTCTTTCCTTCTAGATTCCCAGAAGTCACTGTTGGGTGTATGACCCTCTGTTCAGCCAACTTGAAATTGACGTACTTAACACCCTTGGTGTGACTGTTCTCAGTGAGAACGAGGTAAGTGGATTAAAGGGGAGCAGACTGACCCCAGGCTTTGCCTGTGGACACCAGCATTCTTGGCAATGGTAGCCATTCCTCTTATCGCTCGCTCACTTTTGCAATGCCTGAAAGATGTAACCAGCCAATCAGTTACCTACATTTTGGCTTGTGTTGTGCCTATCAGGAAAAAACTACACAAATAGCATGAACCAGATCACTTTAGATCTGCACTACTTCTGTGAGAATTATTTGTCTGGAAGTTATGCCAACTTGGTATTTGCTGTTGCTATTGAAAAATAAAAGTCTGGGTGCCTCAAGTGAGGTCTTTCTGGATTTTACCCTGTCCCAGGGAGGTATAAAGGGGGACGCAGCAGCCCTCTTTGATGCCATAACCCAGTCAAACCCATAGCACCTGGCTGTGCGTTGTGGATTAATTCTCTGCCCACATTTGCACCCCCCAAAATAGCTGGGATTTGACATTTCTGAGACCTGTGGAATAAAGAAATGCATCTCTCAAGCCCAGGGCCAAGGCCAGTATAAGCAAATCCCTCCGATTTCGGTTTTGTATTGTCTTGGGGATTAGAATCATTTGATTCCTGTGTGTGTCCTGAAACTGCCATCTTATTGCTTATTATGTATGAAAATTTGGCTCAGTTGAGACAAGAATCATTCCCTGATTTTGGCAAGGTCTTAAAATACTGTCAGTCAGTTCAGATCATCTTTCTGGGTGCCTGCTCTATGCTAGGCAGGGAGCTTTGCCAAGACCAAGATAAATGGGAGCCAGTCTCTGTGTTCTGGGAGCTGGTGCTCACATCAGGGCATGTGACCTGTATGTAAGTAAATGAGGCATGAAACAGTGAGGCAGAACCTTTTACTAGGAACTGAGACAAGAGAGGTGTTTGGAGGGATGGACAAAGGTTTCCTGGGTCTGCGCAGGGCTTCGAAGGTCCACCAGGAGTTTGCTGGTGGGACAGAACCAGGATTGCAGGCAGCTGTGCAGTGCTGGCTGTTCAGGAAACCATTGCCAGTTTAGGCAGGCCAGAGGTGGGCAAGGGTCAAAGGGCCTTATGTTCCCTGCTAGTTTGGCTGTAGAGCCGTGATTCCCAGGAGGGGTGATTGTGCATCAGGGACATTGGAAGAGGACTTAGTTATGACGCAGATCTATAGGAAGTGACACAGGAAACATGGGTTACTGAACATGGTGGGAAATATACCGGGGAAGTAACATCACCATCCCTCCTGCCCTTGCCATGATGGACCCAGGACGCCCCTCCATTAGTGCATTGTGTTCGTACATTTATTAAGTAAACATGAGTTCTTTCGGGGCATCATGATTTCCTGACTTTTTAATCCTGTAATGGTATAGATTTCATATACAACTGTAACTGTTCCACAATCAAAGTGAGCTTTTTCCCATTTGATCCTTTAGCTTGTCTCATTATTAACCCCATCCTTACCTCTCCCTCACCTTGCTATAAAGAAGAGGTTGTGGGCATGTTTACATCTGTGAATATTTCCCTTCCCAGGAAGGGAAACGGAGTATTCGCGGGGAGGCTACCATCTTTTACATGCTCCATTGTGGGACGGCCTTGTACAACAATCTTCTATGGAGTAACTGGTCAGTAGATGCCCTTTCTAAGATGGTCATCCTTGGGAACAGTTTCAAAGGACTGGAGGAGAGGTAAGCCTGAGAATGCTGAGATTATGTCAGGCCCTGAGGTGAAACTCATACCTCAGATTGACCCACAAGCAGAAAACGTTTCCTTGACGATTCCATACTGGGAAATGCTTTTCCATAGGGAACTGGTTGAAGGGTTAAAGATAAGAGATGTCAGAACCCTGATTCAAGCTATGAAGCAAGTTAAGGAGTCTTTTTGCCACGATTTCCTCCCTTCCGTTATGATACACAGAAATGCTTTTGAAAACAGGGAAAGCTACTTCATTCCTCTGCCTACAGATCCCATATCCTCATTGTTTCACAGTGCTTAGATGTCTGCCCAGTCATTCCCTTGATGAAATAGGCACAATTACTGGGGTATTTGCTTCTATTTATTTTAATTCATTTATTTTATTTTACTTTTTTGAGATGGAGTCTCACTCTGTCCCCCAGGCTGGAGTGCAGTGGTGTGATCTCAGCTCACTCCAACCTGTCTCCCGGGTTCAAGCGATTCTCCTGCCTCAGCCTCCAGAGTAGCTGGGATTACAGGCACACACCAGTATGCCCAGCTGATTTTTGTATTTTTAGTAGAGACAGGGTCTCACCATGTTGGCTAGGCTGGTCTTAAAGTCCTGACCTCAAATGGCCCGTCTGCCTCGGCTTCCCAAAGTGCTGGGATTACCGTGCCTGGCCCACATTTCCAACTATTTAACCTACTCCACATCTTGAGTTTTTTCTGGAATTCTTACTGTACTTCAGTCATCTTGCCCTTCTGTATGTCTTAAGTTGAATGAAACTATCCTCATACCTCCTAATCATGTCTTTTGTTTTGTTTTTCTTGTTTTTTAATTCCTAGGTTATTGGCAAGGATTCTGCAGAAAAATTATCCCTACATCGCAAAGGTATCTATCTGAATAAAGGGGTTGGGATGGAAAAGCGTGTGAAACAGTGAAGAATTCTATCTTTACACGCGTATGAGGAAGCTCAGGGACTAAGTGACACTCGTGTTCTGTCAGTGAGCTCACCGCACGCGTCTGTGTTCCAGAAAGCTTTGACACTTAATGCATCTCTTAGTTTTTTTCCTTATTTCCTTTATTCTCAGTATCATAGTCCATGATATCCACTGTCCTTGGGGCAACCAATTCATTGTGCAAAGCATTTAAATTGAAATATCCTCTTTGTTATTTTTTTAAAAAGGAAAGCGGGGATAACAAGTAACATGGAAATTTAACCCAAAGAGTGGGGATTACTGTGACTATCAAGTTTTCACGCTTGAATTTTTCTGCTCAGATTTTAAAAGGACTGGAGGAGCTTGAGTTTCCTCAGACTTCACAGTACATGGACATGTTTAATGATACCTCCATCCACTGGTTCCCCGTACAAAAGCTAGAACAGCTCTCCACAGATACTTGGGAGTTTCGGGAGGAACCAGATTATCAGGACTGTGAGGACCTTGAAATCATCAGGAACAAGACAGAAGATCCTTCAGCTACTGACTGAACTCACTGTCATTTACTCATTGTTGGCTGAGGTAGAGACTAAAGGGAAGGCTGCCGTGGACAAACTACAGGGAACTCCTTTGCCAGGAATTCACATCAACTCGGCTGTCCTGTTCTGAGGACGATACCCCACATAATTGGTATAAAGGTGCACACACTGCTAAGTGATCGTCCCGTTTTGCATCCTTCCCTTGTGACCTGGCCTGATGTGGAGTATCTCTGGAATAGAGAAGTTACCCTGTTGAAGGTGATCTAAAATATTGTTTATTCACAACACATGCCGCTCAGGTACAAGTCTCTGGACCTGCCACAGTTCACTTGGCCATATCGATCAGGCTCTGCAGTGAGGTGGGCACCCAGGTCTTCTCGCCCTGGACAAAGACCACTCCCCGGTCGATGTAGATCACAATGCGGCCAAAGGTATAGAGCTGCTTCCCTTCGTGTCGCTTCCCAATGATGGGCATGAAGACAATGTTGTGCTCCTCAGCCTTGGTCTCAATGAGGTCCTTAAAGTTCATGGGCACAGAGCTGGTGGCCACACCAATGCCCCTCTGGGCCATGTTCTCGGCCTCCCGCCTCTCCTGCATGGCCTCGTACTGGAAGTCCTTCCTCCGCTCCGTGTGGGTGAGATAGGCAATGTTCTCCCGTGCTCCCGGCTGCATGTAGGCCCCTGACAGATACAGAAGGTAGGGCGGTGAGGACAGGTGCTTCCAAGTGTATGGCAGTTGACCCTGACTGGCCCAGGTCTGGGTGTGCCACAGTGCTTGTAACTCACTGAAGGGCAGCTCTGCCTCAAAGATACAACTCTGGAGGGAGTTTAGACAACTGGCCACTATCACATAAAAACTGGAAAGTTTCCAGCTAGTAGCTAGAAACCAAAGAGATTATTAAATATTCATTTTAAAATGAAGTATCTGCAAGGGATTTCTTCTTTGAGAGATGGAAACGGCCGGGCACAGTGGCTCACACCTGTAATCCCTACACTTCGGGAGGCCAAAGTGGGCAGATCACAAGGTCAGGAGTTCGAGACCAGCCTGGCCAACATGATGAGACCCCATTGCTACTAAAGATACAAAAAATTAGCCAGGCATGGTGGCGCATGCCTGTAATCCCAGCTACTTGGGAGGCTGAGGTAGGAGAATCACTTGAACGTGGGAGGTGGAGGGTATAGTGAGCCGAGATCATGCCACTGCACTCCAGCCTAGGCAACAGGGTGAGACTCTATCTCAAAAAAAAAAAAAAAAAAAAACCTGGAAACATTAACAGAGATTCGCCACCCACTCTTCTGTTTCCACTTCACACCACAAAAGAGGCAGCTTTTAGTACCTTAAAAAACATGGCCCATACTGGCCTTATTTTAACTTACCCATACAGGTCCCCCATCCTGAAAGACACATGTTTTTGGGGAGCTGAGATGGGTGTTTAAAGGATAATACAAGTGCTAAGTGCTAATTGAGAGGTATGCAGGGAACAGTTTTGGAAGCATGAGGCCAGGAGTAGCTAAGGAAGAGTTTTTAGAAAGACCTTGATAATTACAGAAGCAGAGAAGTATACTTTATCTGTGTTTTCACAGAATATGCTAACTATTAAATAACAAGAATTAAAGACCCAGGAAATAGAAATTCCAGTTCTAACTGCCACTCTTTAACTATGTGACCTTGAACAGGCTCTTAGCCTCGCTGGGCTTATCTGTAAAACAGACTAGGATGATCCCATTTCAATGCTGTGAATTGGCTAATGAGCAACACTGGAGCACAGGACTGGCTGAAATAGGCTCCCAGATGTAGAAATGTAAACATACTTTCATTTACTTGCGATCTAGGCAGAATGGCTTCCCTAGAACTTGGGAATAGATATAGTACATGAACAGTAAACTGTTTTTGACAACACAGGCACCACCTATTGAAAGCTACACACAAGCGTGAACGCAATCCCCCTTTTAGCCTATGCAGTAGATCTTACTGCTTTACAGGTAAAATGGGGGTGATAAGGGCTGAGCAATCACCAAATGTCAGTCCATGTGTCCAACTCCTCACTGTAAGATGTGCCATCGGAGCAGCATGCTCAGGGCTGGCTGAGCAGAAGCGTGGATGAGCCTTAAAAGGCCACACAGCACAATGGTTAAGAGGGCAGGCCCTGGGGTTAGACTGACATCATCTGACAGCTTAAGTCAGTCTCCACTCAGGAAGATGCCCCTCAGTCATGGTAGCCTGGCAGTGGGTGCCAGCTGACCAGGTACCCCAATCAGCACAGTGAGAGTCTGTCACTATGTGCAGAAGTGTGACCTACGGTTTAGGCTGCCTAATGGAACCAGAAAACTCTGATTCTGTGTCATTTCTGTGTGTAAAATCTGAAACTTGGGGCCAGGACATCCAGAATGGGAATCCTCACTTACCAACGTTGGAGGACACCGCCCGGTTCATGATATCAAGTGCTTCGTTAAATTTGTCCTTGACAGATGGATGTGCCAGCACTTGGTCTGAGAACATAGACTTCCAACCCAGGTACCACTTGGTGATCTCCTCATAATTTGGACTGTTACTGAGCCAGGAGCACAGCACCTGCCAAAAAGAAAAATTACTTGCATCCATGATGGCAACAAATGAAGGCAAGATTTCCAAAGGGGCCATTTGTTTTGTTTTGATCCTGCTTCTACAGCCTAGTAACACTATTCTACAGGGATTTATAGTAGCTAAATGGTGTAGCACTTATGAATGTGGATTTGGAGTCAGCCTGGTGGCTAAAGTGCCCCTGCAGTAAACTCTCTCAGCCTAGGCTTCCATGTCTACACAACAGGGATACCACAGCCTACCCCATAGGGGTGCTGGGAGGAACCGAGATAAAGCAAATGAAGTGCTTGGAACAGCCTCTGATACATGACAAATGTCCAATAAATAAATGGTGCCCACTATTAAGATGATCTAACTCATTCCTACCCTACCATGCAATTTATTTTCATTATGGAATTGTACCTGCAGCCAGGCCTGGGAAGAAAATTAACTTAATCCCCTCTCAGTTCCCTCACCCAGAAAACCAAGCAAAACAAAGTGTACCTGCAGCCACTTGGGGAAGAAGTGCTTTTCAAGAAGTCCCACCAGGCTAGAGACAGAGATCATTCCTTCCCAGTCGATCACCCAGTAGAAAGCATCCATGTGCTGCTGGTGGGGGTTAATGACTAGCTCACCAAGACACATCCCTGGAAGAGAAACCCGGTCTGTAAGGCACAGCTTTAGTACCAGCAAAGCCACAGAAGCACAGAGAGCAAAGACAATGTCCGTTTTCTTCTCAGCTCACAGCGACCTCCGCCTCCCAGGTTCAAGTGACTGCTGTGCCTCAGCCTCCTGGGTAGCTGGGAGCACAGGTGTGCACACTGTGGCTGGCTTTTTGTATTTTTATTAAAGACAGAGTTTTGCCATGTTGTCCAGGCTAGTCCCAAACTCTTGGCCTCAGGTGATCTGCCCACCTTAGCCTCCTAACGTGCTGGGATTACAGGTATGAGTCACAGCTCCTGGCCTTTTTTTTTTTTTTTTTTTTCCCAAGACGGGGTCTCACTGTCACCCTGGCTGGAGTGCAGTGGCAGATCACGGCTCACTGCAACCTCTGCCTCCCAAGTTCAAGCCATCCTCCTGCCTCAGCCTCCCCTAGTAGCTGGGACCACAGGCACGTGCCACCAGGCCTGGCTAGTTTTTGTGTTGGTAGAGATGGGGTTGCACCACGTTGTTCAGGCTTTAATCTGCTTTTAAAGGTAAAATTTAAGCTCTTGACATAGCAATTCTTAAAAAAAATATATATATATATATTTGCTAACCCAGAAATAACTCCTATAACCTAGAGTAAAATACCACGGAAATTTCAGAGCTCCAATGGCTGTCCTGTTACCAGAAGCCAAAGCCAAGCAGGAAAGCCACAGGGCACAGAGTCCAATATTGTCACTGTTGACTATTAGTCACTGTTGTAAATAAACAGTAGAAAGGACCCAAGTTACATTTATGTTCAGCCTCTGCACAAAAGGGTAGCTTTTTCACAGTGAGGAATATTGTGTACTAAGCACTTTCACGAACGCAAAGGCTATGTTTTAAATCATCACCGCTGACCACAGAAACCAGGGCACCAAGGCTGCTGGACGTGGAATGCATTTTCCCCATGTCCTTACCCAGCTTGGGCACTATGTTTTTGACCATGAATGCTTCCCAGGAGCCAGGAGTGAAGACGTCCTTCCAGGGCTGGAGGATGAGCTTTGCAGAGGAGTCACTGGGGTGCCACTTCTGCAGGGCGCTGGACAGCTTGCTACGGATGGGAGAATACAGCGGCTCCAGCCGTGCCTGCATGAGGGGCAGCCATGGGTGGATCCAAGAGTGGATGGGAACAGTGTCTGTGAGTGGGTTCCAGTTTTCCACCTGCAAAGTAGGGAGAAGAAACAATTGATGCCACCTGCGGGGCAGTCGCATGCATCCCTGTGTGGTTAAAGGCAAGAGCTGCCCTTGGAGGAGGCCCCATGCTCTTCTAGCCAAGGTCTACAGTCCTTTGTACGTTGCCAAACAAATATGTCCATTCATTTGTATTACATGTCAGAAATAGCACAGTTCTAATTTTAATGAAGAAATCAAGAAAATGACTTCTTTCCTGAGGGTTGCCTGGGGAAAAAAGTGCTGAGAAAAAGGCTGGAATTAACACTATAGACCCATAGTTGGGTTGACAAATTCTGTTAATTCCAGGCGTTTTAACAGCACTGAGATAATGAAGACATAGACTGTCCCTGTGGTTAGTGAAGACAGCTGTTTCCCCATGACTCTCACCCCACCTCCTTCTGCAGCTTGGGGAAGATGAGTTGGTCCAGTATGTTATCTAAGATCCACACAGGAATAATGTGCACCCAACTATCCAGAAAGTCCACCATCGGGTCACAGTTTCTTGGCTGCCACTGGGTGACGATATTTCGAACGAAAGGCATCCAGACTTCCCATATCAACCTATGGGAGAAAGGCAGAGAGCGGGCTGGTTAATTACACTGATTGTTTTCATGTACACCACCACCACCTGCCTCTCTAGAATCAGAAACAAAAATGCAACAGCATGGAAATCCAATCAAAGGAAACCGTCAGGCCAGTCACCATACTGGCCAGACCTGAGCCTGCCTCTTCCTTGTTCTCGTGACTGTCCTCTCAACCTGAGGCCTCAGTCTCCTAGGTAATGCCTGCCCACCTGGCAGAGCTGCTTTAGGGTCACAAGGGCCTCTTCCCAGGTATCAAGT